GTATATTTCTTCTGGCTCGAAGGCCGCCTGCTCCGCTACCTCGGCTTGTATGGACTTTTCATTCTTGGAATCATTGTCTGCTTGACTATCCCAGGCGTAAATCTAAGGATCCACCATTACATCCTCGCGATATTGTTGCTGCCGGGCACGAGTTTGCAAACACGACCGTCTTTACTGTACCAAGGCATTCTGTTGGGTCTTTTCGTCAATGGAATAGCGCGCTGGGACTTTGACTCTGTCTTGCAGACTTCTGCTGCACTTCGCGCTGATGCGAAGTTTAACTCCGTGGTTCCCAAGATAGCGGACGCCACCGTCAATTTTGGTACCGAGGCGCTGGTCGCGACATTTCGGTACGAAGCACACCCGGTCGGAATTGACGGCATAAGTGTCTTAGTAAATGATGTTGAGCGCGACCGCGCGTTCTACGATGATGGGCTAGGTGGAGCTTCTTTTGAGTGGCGCAGGCCACTTGATAGTGGAATCAGCGAGTACTTCCGGTGGGCTTATGTAAGAGATGGGAGAACTTTGGATTATACCAGGCCAGGTACATTATCTGGCAACGGCACGTGGATTCCTGGAGAGCCGGTGGAGAAGGTACGAATGCAGCTGGCTGCACGGTTGCAAATATAAGGATACCTCAGGTCTAGGCTCATGTGCCTGAGATGTGGTGGAGGTCCACGAGGTTCGTTGATTGGAGAATATGAGCTTTTACGATCACAAGAACATGTCAGGGTCTGGTCGTTGTTATCGCCCACATCCGAAGACCTGTCATTTGCTGTAGGCGACACCGGACCATGGTATCAGTTCCAAATACCCCACACTCTTCGTCACGAAGCCCTCATCACTGTTAGCTTCAACCACAAGACAGATACGGTCTGAGGCTTTTCCGTAGCCCATATCTCTTCATCCAACCCTTTTCTCTTCCGGCTCATACTCACTCATCCGTTCCTTCCAACCCTCACCACCACCACTCAAGATGGTAAGTCACAATTGTTCAGTTCTGCAGCCATGCCGCATATTTTCCGTTCAAATCAGAGTTTCAACACTCCTGGACAAGCTGCGATGCAAGATCTGTATCCAAGCAGCCATCTCGGGGCTATATGCGCGATTCCATGAGGTATACTGACCATGCCACAGCACTATACACTCATCGCTTCGACGGCTGCACTTTCTGCACTGGTTCCGCGCCAGATGCGAAACTGCCCCGCTATACCTACATGCCCTCGCTGGAACGGTTGCGTATCTACCTCCACCAACGGTGCTGTATTCCAGCTCACCTGTGCGACTGACTACAACGGCCCCATCATCGACTCTGCCCAGGTACGTTGCAATCCCGAGGAAGACTAGAATACTATTCACACCTTTAAAGGCCGATGTATTCGTCGACTGCGCAGATGCTTGCTCTCGACACAAGGATTGCGTCGCATTCAACATGAAGGGAAGCTTCTGCTACCTTCTGGGCAACCCCAAGGGTACTGCCCGGCCAGCGTAAGTTTGTCTCTAACACGTCCATCTATTGCCAACAACTTTCCAACTCATCCTGCAGAACCAACGTGTCCACCGGCAATCAGCTCAAGGGCCCGACCATCGCAGAGCCCGCGCCTGGCTCCTCGACATGCACCGACGTCATCGACTGCCCTACCGATGACAAGTGCAGGTACACCACTGCGAACCAGAAGCCGTTCATTGCACAGTGCAACTGGGACTACTATGGTGGCGACATTGCCTACAAGTCAACCGAGTCCATGACCAAGTGTGTGGACGTGTGTTCTGTTACAACAGGATGTGTTGCCGTTACTTGGTTTGACCAGAACTGCTACCTCAAGAACAACAACACCAACATGATCTACAACAACAATGTTGATAGTAAGCATTTGTGCAATCGCGAGTTTGATCTCCGAGCTAACGCATGTTTAGGTGTTCATCTTGAGAACTAGACTTCTCATCTTTGAGGCAAGCTGGATGCCGTCAACGTTGCACATCATCGCTGGATCGGTCACCACCATGCCGTGGTGTTGGAGTGGGCGTATATGGGGTTTTCCAGGCCAGAATGTTGCATGAAATGCCGCATATCGGCCCGTAGGCTGTTGCTCCAGTCGAGCTTTCAATATCACGAATAACCCCCCGTTTCAGTTTCACCTCGCGAAAGTAGCTTCGATGATTGCGTAATTCTTTTGTACTGCGTACACGAGTTAGTTTCACACATCTTCCTCTAGTGGCGACACAAAGTCTTTGAGGATATTTTAATGCACCTTATTAATTTCGCTAGAGGCTAGTCTATAGTCGCCGCCTTGCTGCTTTTAGCTACGCTATCTAACTTATACTATATAATCTATCTTTAATAATAACTTGCTAACTCTTTATTTATATAGTAATAATAAATTCTACGTTATCTTCTTCTACTAAACTAGAAGACGCCTAAGATATTCTTCTTCCTTGCTAGTTATAGCGAGCTGCGCTTTAAGCCTTACTTATAGTACTTTAATTATAAGAATCTTAGCATCTACTATAGCTTGCGCAGCTAGCGTAATAACTTTAAGTATACTATTAGTATCTAGTAATTAATAAAAGCTTTTATTATATACTTTAGAAGCTCTTATACTATAAAAGCAATACTTAGTAAGCTAGCTATTTATTATTCTTCTTGCTAGGCGATAGTAATATAGAGAATTTAACTTTCTAGATATCTTATTTATCTACTTTAGCTTTTAAGCCTATATAAGGCTCTAGTATAATCTTTAACTATTTAAGTAATAGGTTAGTAAGAGTTAGAGGTATTTTAATTATATTAGGCTTTTAGTATTATATAGAAGAGAGAGGAGAATATTAGCAGCACGTAGCTTTATATACTATTACACTTAAAAACTTTAACTTATTATAACTAAGAAATATCCTCTTAAGAGTTACTAGTGTCTTTTAGTAACTAATAGTATCTCTCTAAACTATTAGCTCTACTAATAACTATAGTACTATAGTAACGCACTAGATAGCACTCTAGCGAATAATATTAAAGCTATTGTAATTATACTATATACTAAAGCATAACCTTAAAAACTAAGAACCTAGGACTAGACCGCAGTCTGAGTCAAAGACGCACTCTATTCTTTCTTCCTCTAGTGGCGCGCCTCGCTTACGGTACCTATGCTTGACTAGCAACACAGCCCGAACTTGGCATGGTAGGCTGTGTTCGACACCAACCAACTAAACCCAGCTATTTTGCCCTTGGGTCGATCTTCGAAATAGTCGAGGAATTGCGGGGTGATCATCAGGCTGAGACGTCAAGTGCATCGATACGGGACCTGCGTTGAAGTTACGCGCCACGATAAGGCGACCTGTGTGTTGATCAACTTTCTCTTTTGCGCCTTGCTACGTAGAAGTACTTATAGTGGGACCACATCTACTCAATCTCGTATCTCATTTTACTAATATTGATGTATCGCACTCCCGATATTCTTCCACAGCTTCACCTACGCGTTACCAAAGTACCTCCAAACATGGGCATCCTAGCATCTTTCACTCGTCCTAAAAGTCCACTTTGGCAAGGACCTCAACGCTTCCATCACCATGTCTTTCTCGTAAAGGCATTTATGCTTTTTGTCTTTATCATCATCATCATTTCCCACAATGCTTCCTTCAAGTACGGATTTAATGATCGCGACAACGACCCCCGCTGGCGAAGCTATGCGTAAGTCACAGCACATGTTCTTCCCACTTTTGATCATTTCAAGAGCCAGGCCGATCGAATAAGCGCATGCTAACTGTGTATCTAGGAACGATTGGTTCTTCCGCACAGGATTCGCAATGATCCCAGATACCATTTACACCCTCTTCAGCCTCGTGGCTATACCCTCTTCAGCCTCTGCACCAAATTTATTCCATCCCATCCTTACTCTCACTGTATCTTTGGTCATGGTGTGTCTTTATGGGGCCATCTGCTTTCTACACACGCTCATTATCTACAACGATGAGAGCAACACCTACAACAAGTCGTATTGGGATAGCCTTGGATATGCTGAGGTGGGATTCCAAGGGGTACTAGGCCTTTTACATGCGGGAATGGCTCTGCTGAGTGGCATTGCCGTGCATCAGTGGAGGATGTCGAAGAAGGGTAAGAGGGCCAATTATACTGCGGATGTGGAATTGACGCCTTCGACCAAAGATGGTAGGGCCAGTGATTTGAGTTAAATGGCTAGTCAGAAGAAGAGGGGACATTGTTTGATGTGCTTCCCGTCAGCGGGTTCCGCGAGTTGATCACGCCGGCAGCATCAAAGGGAACGAAAATGAGTAATTATGAGGTGAAATTAGACTACATGTATTTATCAAGAGCAATAATGTATAATGCGTCCTAGATTCTGCTATGTCAAGGAGAGATCAAAGTGGGAGTGGATGGAGCCTTATCTCCATGATCGCCGTTGATAGCACCCCACTAACGCTACGGTGACTCAACCAACCACGACTCACATAAAAGACACGACGACTGCCAGAACTTCAATGTAGCCGTTCAGCTGTTTAAGATTCCGATGGCTCTTCAAAGCCTCGTTGTTGGCGCGATAGCGGCTCATCCCATAACAACCTTGTTCTTCACGCCTTTCCTGCTTGTATTGATCCGTTCAGTATATCGCATCTGCTTTCACCCTCTCTCCCACATCCCTGGACCCATCTTACCTAAGCTCAGCAGCATCTTCCTTCACTACCACGCCTACATCGGAGACGAAGCAAGTACTATCCACAAACTCCACGAACAATACGGCCCGTATGTCCGAGTCTCACCGAATGAAGTCGATATAAGCGACGCGGATGCTATACCCGCAATCTACGTATCGAAAGGAGGCTTTCCGAAAGCGGCGTGCTACGCAAATTTCGACATTGATGGCCACAAGACTATTTTCTCGACTATCGATACGGACTACAGGAGCCCAAGAGCGAAAGCTGTGGTCCCGCTGTTCTCAACAAAGGCATTGAGGGAAAATGAGAGAGCGATTTGGGGATGCGTCGATCGCATGGTGGAGCGATTGAGGGACGAAGCCATGACAAAGCGGCCTGTCAACGTGCTCAACTTGACGCGAAGCCTGGCTGTGGACGCAGTCTCTACGCACCTGTTCCGGGAGAATTACGATGGGGTCAGCGAACGCGGTCCAGTACTCAGTGTGAGCGCATTCGTGGACGCATTTGTCGCTGTCGGCCGCTTCTTCTACCTCCCAAATTTCGCTTTCACGTGGTTGGAATGGGCCGTTGCCAAATGGTTGCCCGATCCAGAGACTGAAGATAGCATGATGCTTGTTGACAAGTTCATCGGCACACTGGTAGCAAATACCTCCGAGAAGTCAACAACATACCCCGGGCGTCTACTCGCTGCGGGACTCAGCGACTCCGAAGTTAGGGCACAGTGCAAAGATCTCATCTTCGCAGGAACAGACTCTACGGGGATGAACTTGGCAACGATCATGCGCAATCTAGCGTTGTACCCAGATATGTACGAGAGACTAAAGGAAGAGATCAAGGGTAACGTTGCCCTTGGCCCGGATGCACAGGACGTTCAAGCGCTACCCTATCTCAACGCTATTGTCAAAGAAGGCCTCCGAATTAGCATGGCAAATCCTACGCGCTTACCTCATACGGTCCCTGCAGGAGGTTGGACTTTCAAAAACACATACTTCCCAGCTGGTGCCATTGTCGGTTGCTCAGCGTATGAGCTGCACTTCAACCCGGACATCTTTCCCTCACCAAGAAGCTTCCGGCCTGAAAGATGGCTGAGCCCAACAGAAGCTATGTCGAAATATTGGTTCGCATTCGGCGCAGGGAGCAGAGCGTGCATCGCCAGAAACTTGGCAACCATGGAGTTACAATTCGCGACGGAGAGGCTAGGTAGAAGTGGGGTTCTTGATGGCGCAAGTGTCGTACAGAATGATGTCGAGATCTACGAGTGGTTCAATTCGAAAGTCAAGGGCGAGAGAATTGACTTGGTCTGGGGTTGAGTGAAATGGCTCTGCAATCCCCTTGACTAGATGAAGTTTCGACTTAGGAAAAGGGTATGCGTTACAGAAAGTGAGAACAAAGAATGTACACCTGTATCGTATGTCCGATTTATATGCGTCCTGGGGGCTTTCACGACAGTCATTCTGCCAGGTCTTATGTCACCCGGTGCCGATTGTAAGTGTATCGGTCAATTGCATGCACGCTTCCAATGCAAGACAATGTCACTGAAGCAATCATGGGTCGAGCGAGCGGCCTCTTTGAGAACAACTGACCATCGCGGACTCCATCGGCAAGTTGCGAAGCAAGTAGTGAGAACATGCGATCGGTGAGCATACATCAACAAGGAAGCAAGTATCTCAGAAACTAAGAGGATGTAATGTATTCAGAAGAAGCTACAGACTACTAACGCGGAGCAACAAAGGGGAAGAGAAACAACAGGAGAAAGAACATGGCAGAAGCCAGCGCAAGCTCACACTAGCGTGAAACGGAGCGACGCGACCAATGAAGCGTGCAAAAAGACAGCAGAGCCAAAAGCGACAATCCAGCTACCTCATCGGTTCGTGGCATCGCAGGATGGCTCGCTTCAGTCGGCACGAAGAGAAATGCCCGGCGGAATCGGTTCAAGGACGGCACTTCTCGCCTTTCTCGAAGCACAACTCGACAACCTCGCGCGCGCCGTTGTGGAAGCACTTCTTCTTGATGCCGCAGGTGAACTGCCAGTCGCACATCTGGGAGGAGTTAGTCGACGAACTATACCAATGAAGATGATGCAACATTGCAGGGGGTGGGTGGGCAAGGCAGTGACTTACGTTGCAAGACTCATCACCAAACTCGCACAGATAACAATCTTCATCGGCAAAGGAGAAGTCTGGCCGGGTTCCGTTGGAGATCGCCGGCTGCAAATGGGTGGTCGTTGTGTTGGAAGTAGGGGCGTCATCGCCGGCGAGCACCAGAAGCATCGCGGCGGAGCCAAGGAAATCGCCGGAAGCCATGGACGTGTCGTATGCTTTGGACGCCTCGGCGTCCTCTAGGAAGCTTATGCAGACCTCCGCTTCGCTGAGAGGGTCTTTGCACAGGAAGTGCTCACAGCCTTGGTCTTCGTCGCAAGCGAAATCGCACCCCTGTTTGTAGCGGAAGTCAGTCAGAAGTTCTATAAGCACGCGACGGACTGGTGCTTCAACTTACATCGCACTCCGCGTTACCGTCGCAAGAGTCGCACATTGGCTTGGCGATAATGCTATCGCGGGGAGACATAGGCGCAGGGGTTTGGTTGGCACGAACTGATCTGGCTACGGTGTGGGTCGCGGTCGTGATCACAGTGACGGGAATCTCGAGCACGTGTGGTGAGCGCGAAGCAGTAACAGTTGGTGGCTGGAGCATGATGGTGGACGCTGGATCCTGGTAGTGATAGGTGACAGTGGAAGTTGTGCCTGGTTGCTGGTAGACGACAGTAGAAGCTGGGTTCTGTACAGTAACGATGGATGTGGTGCCTGGTTGCTGGTAGATTACAGTGGAAGCCGGCTTCTCCACAGTGACGGTATTAATCTGAATCTGAGGGGCTGCCACGACGACAGTGGTAGTCTGAACCCGAGGAGCTGTCATGACGACAGTGGTAGTCTGAACCCGAGGAGCTGTCACGACGACAGTGGTGATCTGTGGACGCTGAGCAACGACAGTCACAGTGCTTGTCTGTGGACGTTGAGAAATAACCGTCACGGTGCTGGTCTGTGGACGCTGAGTAACAACCGTCACAGTGCTGGTTACTATAGGTATCGAAGTAGTTGTCGTAGTGCATGGGGAGCTCTGAGGAGCTACGACGACAGTAGTGGTACTGGTAACAGGGGCGGACACGGTGACCGTGACGACTGGCGAGGACGTGGGGTCAACGACAGTTGAGATGACCACTGTCTCAGTGGTAGTTGTGGTCTCGCTCGGTCCGGAAGCAGAGACGTTGAAGCCCGGGGGCTGCCATTTGGAACGGACGCTCATGCACACCGTCATGTGAGTGGCCAAGTTGTTGCAAAGGTACTTGTCGCACTCCGCGCAGTCGGCGTGGCATTCCTGAGAGAAGATAAGTTAGCAAGCTGAGTACAGGCAAGAAACCTGAGACGAATCAACGTACTGGGCAAGTTTGGTCATTGCAAGGGAAGCATTCCGACTGCTTGAAGGCAGTGCGACGAGTAGGTGACTGGTTGTCGCCATCGTTGGAGGCTAGCTCATCGCGAGGGGCCAGGCCAGTGTGCGTCGGGGGTACGGCTGTACGAGCAAGCGTGATGGTTGTGGTGATGTCGGAAATCGACGCCTCAGAAGTAGGTGTGGCGGTCACAGTTACAACAGAGGTGCTGATGGTGGTCTCGAGGATGTTGGCTGTGACTGTGTGATTACGGATGACGTCGGCAAGCTCGGGTTGGATGTCGAAGCAGTTATGCCAATCCAAAAATGCGTCGAAACATTGGTAATGGTCGCAGTCCCGACAATAGAAACTGTAAGACGTGCAATACTACCAGACAGAACGTCAGCAAAGATCATCCTATTCTGAAAGAAGAGGACATAAGGAAGACTTACGTCGCAAGGGTCCTCAGTTGAGCACTGCTTGCACGAAGCTTCCGACAGAGCAATGGTACGAGGGGACACTGAGTTGGTGTTGCCAACAGCCAAGTCGCCTCCCTGGTAGTAGGAGCAGTAGTTGTTCTTGTCGCAGCCAATGTGCCAATTTCCGTCCACGACGGGAGTGTGTTGGGCTGGGACAGCATCGACAGGGTCCTCAATGGAACTTGGCTTGACTGCCAGGCCGGCAGGCGTCGCGGCACCGAAGGCGATGAAGCCAGCGATGACACTGGTGGTGAGACGCATGGCGTAGGTCGTGGTTGGAGTAACCAAGCTCTGCCTGCGGAATGCGTTGATGGGTGGGCTCAGGTATGGATGATGGATGGATGAGCTGGGTAGAAGAGTTGTTGGTAGAGTTGCTGGGCTGAGTTGGGATGTGAGAGAGAAATGGAGGATGAAGACCCGAGGACGGGATTATATACTCTAGAATGGGCATGCACGTAGCTTGTAGGCGGGCAACAGCAGTGAGGTGCTGCTGCTCCATGATGTGTTGATGTTTACGTTGTTGTAAGTGGAAGAAGGAGGAACATGTTGAACCTGACGACGGTCCTGCTCCAAAGACAGCAAGGCCTACTCCGAAACGTGCTAGTCAGGGAAGTCTCGCATCCCCTCGTTGGAGGAGCGGCCAGTGCCTTGATCTTGCAGCCTCCTCTACATGCATCGATAGACCAGGTACCCAAACATCGTCCGCGGGATGGGCATGCTGCAACAATAGTTGGACCAGCATATACAAGTGCTGAAGGAGAATTATTGTCGTTCGAGTGTGGCAGCATCCTTTACAGCCGATGTGCTGTCCATGTAGGGTAGTAGGGCTCGGCGGAAGTGCTCTTTCGTGATGAGCGTGGTGTCAGCAACTCGGAAGGAGCGTACGGGCAGCCTGGGGACTACGTATAGCATGATTCAAGGGATGAATCGATGCACTACGAGCGTGTGAGTATGTCCATGTATTAGACTCATGGTTCGAAGCCTTGCACAGAATTCTCGTGCGTGATGTTCCGTATCCATATCCTGTGCTGGGAAGGATCTCACATGAGATACACGACGTGCAGCCTGGTGGCTGGGGACTTGCGCTGCCATGTAGAGGTTTCGGCAGTGCTGAGGTCTCGTGGCACGCGATGGAAAGGATGACGTTCATCAAGTCTAATGAAGTAGAAGCTAGTCGGGAGTCGCGAGATGGCTGCAGCCAATCAGGCAAGGGGCTGACGTAGCGCGTCCAGCTCCGTGGGGAAGGCGCGACGGTGGGTCAACTGCGACTCCATAGCTACCAGCGACTGCGAAACGACGCATCCAGACCTGAGCGCCCTGTTGGTCATGATGGACCTCTCGACGCTTGGGCGTGCCCCTCAGTGGCTCTCGTCCGCTCCTTCACTTCTGGCCCTGCTCCACGTTGAAGCGTTTCTGGCTACACAACCGCCTGCAAGCCCGGCGCAGCCCACTGCAGGCAACTGCGGCACCAACTTTACTTGAACCCTGGTCTCGCCCGTATTCTCTCTCTAGTTTGCTGCCAATCCCGCTCGCAAGCCTCTCTACCTTGCATCTCCCTGCGCAGCTCATTCTACAAAACTCACGCGCGACCAACTGCCCGCCATGACCAACGACAAGGCTGCACCCGCCTTCATGGACCTCCCGCTCGAGGTGCGACACTCCATTTTCGATCATGTGGCCGCGCGCGACGTCAAGCCTAAGAAGCTGCTCCGCTACTGGTTCGAGAAGAAAGAGGTCAAGGAACTCATTGCCCAGGACGCCATTCACAACCCCAACGGTCCCACCCCGCGCGTCGTATACGCCAACGACTACGATGATCACGATGACGAGAGTGCTGTAAGCGACTACAACAGTGAGGAGGAGGATCAAGAAGAGAACGAGGATGCTGCAGAGGACAGCGAAAACGAGGACGAAGACGAAGACGAAGATGGAAATGAGGACGAAGGAGCAGAGCAGGAAGATGGCAATGGTGAGGATGAAGCTGAAGATGAGTCTGAGTCTGACTTGGACGGCGAAGATGAGGACGATGAGGTAGAAGAAGCTGTCGCCGGCGCGCACGATACCCAGTCGGCAACTGCTAGCGTCCACGTTCCAGCCCAAGCTACGGCTCAAGTTGACCCCGACCACCACTCCGAAGATGGGATGGCAGAGGAAGAACCTGGACAAGGACATGCCGGTGAGGGCGACAGCGAGGATGAGGGCGACAACGGCGAAGAGACTGAGGGCGCGCAGCTACACAATGACGAAGAGGCCGAAGGCGATAGCGATAGCGACGAAGATCTGGCTGATGACGGCGGCAACGCTGCTGCTACAGTCGTTGCGGCTCAGCCTCCTCCTCCCCCAGCACCCGTATTCCGACCCCATAACAAGTGGCGCCACATACCGAACTTCATGCGCATCACTCACTGTCCTCCGCCGGTCCAGCTCCTGCTGGCCTCCCGCCAGCTGAACAACGAGGCAAAGAACTGGTTCTACGATGTAGCTGTTCTACGTATCGACGCCACTGGTAGCTTCGCCCACACGTCTTTCTTCGAAGAGGCAAGTCATTTTCCTGTGTGAATTAACGTGTGACATTTGCTGACTTCGTACACCAATGTTCAGGCTTTCAGCCAGATCACCGACGCTGCCTTTTCTCCTATGGAGAACATTCGAAAGGTTAATATAACTTTCGTTTGGGATTCAGCCTGGATCCGCGCCGACACTACCGACTCCATCGAGGCCATCTTCCCTGCCCTTCTTCGCCAGCGCTCCAATTTCGTATTCGAGATCCTGTTGAAGGCGCCAGACTTGCGAGAGGTCGTCATTCATTGGTAAGTCAGCCCAAGGTTCGATTTACTTTCGAACAATCACTAACGTTGCGCTCCTAAGGCACGACTCCATTCAAGACGACGAGAGCGCTAACCTCATGCTCGACAATCTTGCACCCTTCCATACATTGGGCCCTACCGTCAACATCATCGAGCACTACATCGCGGCGGACGCCAAGCCCAAAAAGCGTAGTATCGCTGGCAAGCGTCGCGTCGAGTTCCAAAACATACTTGACATGGGTCTTGATCGGCTCTTCTAAGATGCGATGCTTGGCACCGTCGTACGGCGAAAACTCGGTTATAATCTCGTATTTCTGAAGAAGGCAGCCATATGTGGATGTGATCGAGGATAGCTTTCCTTTTTCATGAACTTTCGCCCCAACAAGCCGGGACTTTACGTCCTAGTGCCTTAGCCTGCACATGCCATCGACTCTTGCGGTTACCGTGCATCGATCCATGGTTCCGAATGCGCAGTGTTAGTGGGCTGCAGGGTTCAAGTATCCGAAAGTAGGCCTTCGGAAATTCCAAGATACCTCATTACACTCTTTCACAATCTCTCTTATCTTTTGTGCTCTACGAATGAAGTGTTTGCTAACATCACCACCACCAGCTCAAAATTGAAAAACTGCGTGGAACACACGTTCTAGATTGTACCTCTCTACGTCCTTCTTTTCACAATTGTTATCCGCGGTTCTCGGACAGGCGCATATGATCGCCGTTAGGTTACGGCTCACGAATGCGGGGAAAGAACACCTGATGTGCTATTCACCACCACCATGGCTGATAGCGCAAACACAAGGCTATCCTGAGTGGACGGCATGGGAGATCGTTCAATTGTTGTGAGAGCTAATAGCTCGTAGCGTCCCCTAAGCCTTGGGGTCGCCATCTAGATGCGCGGAAAGGGTCCGCTAGTATCACCGGCGCCAAGCCGAAAAGAGCAGAAGATGGGGTAGTGCGGTACTCAAGTTCACAAAAAACCTATGGCATCCGATAAATGGTCTGCGATGGACTGTAAGTGGCCGAACTTTATTTGCGAGGGGCAAAGAAATACTGAACATTTACTTAAACGGATTGCTGGACTCCCAAATCTGACTCTTGACAGTTGTCTTGTCATCTGGTATCCGAACATCTTCTCAAAGTGCCCAGATCATAACAGAATTTCATCATGGGTATATACAACAAGCTTGCAGACGACATTAATGAGGTAGATGTCATCATCGCTGGAGGTATGTCTATCATATTCACCCTCATCGAATCCCCCACTGACATCTTTGTGTAGGCGGTACAGCGGGTTGTATCATAGCCGGTCGACTTGCTGAAGATGACCCCTCCCTCTCTATTCTTGTAATCGAAGGGGGCGCGAACAACAAAGATGTCGCCAGCGTTGTCAACCCCGTTTTCTACCTGCAGAACCTACTGCCTGCCACCAAGACCGCTCTCTTCTACAAAGGAAACAAGTCGAAGCAGCTAGCCGATCGTGAACCCATTGTACCTTGCGGTGGTACCTTGGGCGGAGGCAGTTCAATCAATTTCATGATGTACACACGAGCACAAAGATCGGACTTCGATAGCTGGAACACACCTGGCTGGTCAGCTGAGGAGATGTGGCCACACCTAAAGAAGCTAGAGACCTACCATGGACCCGGAGCGAAAGAGCACCACGGCCACAGCGGACCAATCCATGTCTCAGACGGAGGTTATCGCGCAAAGGCTGCTGAAGACGACTTCATAAGCGCAGCTGAGAAGGTCGGCTACCCTGAGATCGAAGACTTGCAGAACCTGGACGACAACAACGGTATTGCGCGATGGCAACGCTACGTGTCACCAGAGGGCAAACGCCAAGATACCGCACACACATACCTCCACCCGAAGCTTGAGGATGAGCGGTATTCCAACCTTCATGTTCTCGTCGAATCGAAGGTGGTGCGCGTACTGTTCGACGAGAACAAGCGTGCCACTGGTGTCGAATATACACCAAACCCGGAGTTTCAAGCTGAAATTGGTCTGAGCATGCATCCTGTGAAGGCTGTGAAGGCTCGCAAGTTGGTCGTCGTCACATCTGGTGCTTGCGGTACACCACCCATCCTCGAACGTTCGGGCCTGGGCTCCAAGGAGGTCCTTGAACGTGCTGGTGTACCTCTCGTAGAAGAGTTACCTGGTGTAGGAAAGGACTACCAAGACCATCACCTCCTTCTGTACCCCTACAAGACTGCCTTAGCGCCCGACCAAACGATCGATGGCATTCTGAGCGGACGCGCTGACGTTGCCGAGATGATGAAGAACAAAGACCCCATGCTAGGCTGGAACGGCATCGACATATCCTCCAAGCTACGTCCTACTGAAGAAGAAGTCACTTCTCTCGGACCAGAGTTCCAAGAAGCGTGGAACCGCGACTTCAAGGATGCGCCAAACCGTCCGTTGATGCTGTGTGGTCTGGTGTCTTGCTTCTTGGGCGACCCAGCAAGCATACCTGCGGGTCAGTACGTCACAGCAGGTAACTACACCGCGTACCCCTACTCGCGCGGACACATGCACATCACCGGCCCGAAGCACGATGACCCACTAGACTTCGATGTGGGCTTCTTCAACGACAAAGACGACATTGATCTCAAGAAGCAAATCTGGGCGTACAAGAAGCAACGCGAGATCTTGCGACGTACGCAGTTCTACCGTGGCGAATTGGCTGCGGGCCATCCAAAGTTCGCTGCCGATTCTGCGGTCGCACTACAAGAGAACGTACAAGGCCCTCTAGAAGACGTCAAGGACTTGGTCTACAGCAAGGAAGACGACGCTGCTATTGAGCAGTGGCTTCGTGAGAACGTCAACACAACGTGGCACTCGCTTGGCACGTGCAAGATGGCGCCGAGAGAGCAGGATGGTGTTGTTGATTCCTCCTTGAACGTACACGGCATCAAGGGGTTGAAGATTGCGGATCTCAGTATCCCTCCGGAGAACGTGGGTGGTAACACGAATAACACGGCGCTTGTCATTGGTGAGAAGGCTGCGGATATCATCCTTAGTGAACTTCGAGGTAGTGCGGGTACTCCTTAGGGTGGGGTGGACTGTAGCATGTAAATAAGCGTTGATCAACTTACAAGTTCCTTGCATCCGATGAAGTTCAATCCAGTATGGTCGATGATTTGAGTGTGAGAAGGAGGCTCGTGCTGAACCGCCTCGTGTTTTCCCATTGGGCTACCTATCCTTTGCCCGTCCTACAACCTATATCTAAACCGCCTATTCTCGCGATCTGTCAAGTCAAGGAACTCCTCATTCTCAAGATGCGTCCCATCATCCTCTCGATCCCTCTTCTTATTCTCCCACATGTAGTACGCCCTCAATACCAGCGCCATGGCCGCCGCAAATGCGCAAGTAACTACAATAGTAACCTTCGCTGGTATGAAATCCGGCCCATCGCCTTGGCGGAATGTCAACGGTCCGATAATATTTCCCAGACAGAAAGACATGAGCAAAATAGCGTTCATGGTTACTTTCTTCGTGTGACCGGCAATGTTCGCAGACACCCAGGAGTAGAGGAGCGGTAAGCTGGAGCCAATGCAGTTGGTAAGATAGTTCCCGATGAGCTTTCCCACTCTGGATTCGCCGGGGAGGAAAGCCATGAGGCAGCCTCCCAGCGCTCCAGGTATGAGCAAGGAGACGACGTTCAGTGCGCGTTGGTTGAAACGGCCGGCGAGATATGTAGCGATGAGGATTGAGATGACGCTGACGGCGCCCGAAGGTAGCTGTAGCAAAGCTGTAGTCTTAGAGCTGAAGCCAAATGACTTGATGAGCGTGGCCTGGTAGGAAGACACTGCACCATTGGGTACATTGGATGATATGGTGATGATCGATAACATCCACGTCTGCGGATCTTTGAAGCAGTCAAGCACTTGGTGAAATTTGAAATGCGTGTTCTCGATGCCAGTCTGGTTCTCGCGTAGACGTTCGATTGCCCATACCTTCTCTGCTGGGGTTAGGCGAGAAGACATCGGGTTGTCGGGAAGAAGCAACACCACTACGTAAGTCAGTACCATTCCGAGAACCAGAGATAGAGATCAGCATACCAGTTATACCGACTGAGACAGTAACTAGACCCACGACCAAGAACATGATCTGCCAGCTAGTAAAAGTGTCACTTTCGTAGTGCTGAAACCCGAAACTGATCAGACTTCCAATAATTGTTCCAGTTCCTGCAGGGGTAGAGGTACGAAGTCAGCATATGTCTCACATGCATTTCGTACAGCCAGGACTTACCGACTCCCAGATACCAGATACCGGTTCGCAGCGGTTGTTCTTTCTTCTTATACCACATCGAAGTTATCAGGATCAAACTGGGCGCGACGGCCGACTCGAAGCAACCCAATAGGACGCGTGTAGCTACTAGAGCGCCGTAGTTCTTGCACACGCATGTGAGTGCCGTGACGAGACCCCAGAGTATTACGGCTGCGCCGAGGTACTTTGCAGTAGGCAGACGCTGCATGCCGTAGCCATGAGGGAACTCGAGCGCGAGGTAAGATACGTAAAAGAAGAGAGCGAGGTTGGAGAACTGTGCCGTGTTGATGTTCGCGTCCTCGTAGAGACCCATCACCGCCGCGTAGTTCACTAGTATAACCTGTCAGCATGTTGGGTTGCAGAGTAGTGATGCAGCAATACAAGAGCTGACATACCCAGTGTCTTGTCCAGATACTGCAAGCAGTAACAGCACCACATCAATGGCATGATCATCCAATCAATCTTCCGAACCAGTCTTCGCTCATCCTCTGGCGTGAGAGCACCGACATTGTGTGCATTCTTAAGAAATTTGAGTGCTTCATCGCCGTTGTTGGATGGCTCCTCGACGGTACCAATCTCGACGTCCGAATGCGGTCGCGAAGGAGAAGTGTCGCCCGATTTCGACTCGTGGGCTATCTCTTTCTCCGGGATGCTCATCTTGCCGATATAGAGACGAGGACAGGTAAAGCAGATATTGTTCTCGATTGGTTTCCATGTAGCATGCGGTGCGACAAGGTATATGTAACGAACCCAGTACCCTACCATCTCAACATCTGCATTGCCGTGTCGCCCCTCATATGCATGCCGACCTCATACCCGGCAAACAGCATTACCTATCAAGGAGCATCTATCGAAGATCGCTTCTGCATCCTCAATGCCAGCCAAACATCGTTTCTTCCGACCAGCATCCCTTATCATGAACCCTGTAGCGACAAGCCGATGAGCGCGCGATAGGTCCCAGATCTCTAGCCTGCATCGTAGGCGACACAGC